CCTGACATTCTGTGATTCTGTGATTTCATTCTCTCACAGGGCGCTGAAAGAACCCAAAGAATTGAATTTTATCTTTGGTGTGAATATTGAGCAGCGCGAATTGGATGGCATGTTCATATATAACTGCAGTCGACTGATAAAGATGTACGAGAAGGTGGGCCCGCAGCTGGAGAGTGGCATGTGAGTTCCTGAAGATTTTTCAGCAATCTTTTTGCTTAAGCTTGGCATGTTCCTACATATAACTTAGGCTGTGCAATACCCTTGTTCTGACTTAATCGTTCTTCGTGAGCATGAGGCTTATTCATTTTATCAGCCTTTAGTTTGGATTCTGACAAATAAATTGTATTTTAATATTGCCCAAAATTTCCCTGGTTTCTTGATTGAGAGTTCTCTCCACAGATTTTGGTCATACCTGCAGCAGTATGAGGCTTTTGTGCTCAATGCTGGCATTTGAGGCTGATGAATACTGGTAACAATACTGCCTCATTCCAGGGACAGGGACAGCTCTTGAAAGCAAATACAAATATTTGAGCCCACCTTGCTTTTTGCATGCTGGCTTGAGTCTGATTTAAAAAGCTGATCAATTAAAACCCCGCTAAAGAAATGGGTGGGTTTGTGTAACTTATTTTCAGTATTGTTTCTCTGAACAATGACCTGGTAGTTTAGTGATGTTCATGACTGTCTGTCCCTCTTCCAGGGCATGTGGTGGAGTGGTAGGTGTGGTGGATGTGCCCTATTTGGTTCTGGAGCCAACCCATAATAAACAAGACTTCGCTGATGCCAAAGAGTATCGACACTTGCTTAAAGCCATGGGAGAGCATTTGGCTCAGTATTGGAAGGATATTGCTATTGGTAATGAAGCTTCACAATTACAGGGGCTGGAAGGGGAAGCTTCAGTGGCCTGAAGGCAGCTAAGGAGGAGGGCAGCCAAGAGTGCAGGCGGTGAGTTTTGCAGTAATGGCTCCATACTGAGCGGGGACTTGTTTCTTTTCCAGCCCAGAGAGGTATCGTCAAGTTCTGGGATGAATTTGGTTATTTGTCAGCAAACTGGAACCAGCCTCCATCTAGTGAACTGCGCTACAAACGCCGGAGAGCCATGGAGATCCCTACCACGATTCAGTGCGGTGCGTCCAACCAGGCTGGGATTAGGAGGCTAGTCCTCCCTGGGGAAGTGGGGAGGGACTCCTGTCTGCATTTGGGCAGCAGCTAAATGGGTAGGAGATTTGAGATGAGCTTTGTGATCCTTATCCCCTTCTACGGTTTGTCTCCTTCTATGAGATGCCTTTGCACTTGATGGTACACTTAGCCGTAAGGTTCCTTTCCTGCACAGTTTACTGACTGTGGTGTTCTTCAGCTGCCCTTACAGAATGGTGCAGGTGTAGCTAGTAGCAGTGTTGAGAATGGGCTTAAAAATGTCATATGAACTGGAACTGGCCAAAGCCACCTGTCCCAACTTCCCAGTAGGCAATGGAAAGTGGCCGAGTAACTGGTGTGCTAATACTCTGGCCTGCTAATCAGTTCTAGGTGTGAGCACAGAAGGAAACCATTTACACTTGACTTTCAGATTTAATACAAGTTCTCTTCTGTACACCTCTAAACAGCTCTGGCTAAGCCTTTACTGGGGTAAAGAGGATCTCAACACGACCATTTTGTCTCTCAGTAGAGGGACACCAAACTCCCTTGACCTCATTTTACCCACAAGGCTTGAGGATGAGGAGCTAGCAAGGAATGTTAGGCCAGTATTGTGGAATTGTTTTGTCAGGCTCTCCTGCCTTGACGGTTTTCTCAGTCCTTTCCAAGTTCCTCCCAGAGAGGAAGGGCTTTCCTGTCATTCTTCTTGTCCTCTGCTGTTGACATCCTTCCAGAGCCTGATTTAAGAACATTTGCATTTTCTTGGTAAACTTGATTTTTTTTTTTTAAGCCATTGATTTCCTGGTATGCCAGCAATGTTCTGGAAACCTAATCTGTCTTCCTGGTTCATCTAAAATGTATTAGATTATTATAACTTATTATTTTATTGGATGAATCTCTGACTTGTTTTGTGTTAATATCTGTAAGAGACCACTTGACTTGTGAGACAAGCAGTGGTTTCAGGAGTTGCTGTTCAGTTTGGTTTGTCTGTGCTGTCACTGCAGCAGTAAGTGTGAGGTCCTCTAGTATCACTTGATGCCAGGCTTCAGCACATTCTTGTTATGGATGCCTTGTACAAGATTCGAGGTCTTCCTACAAGCATTTTGTGAGCATGAAGCAAGAATTGACTCAGTAGAAGTTCTTCACTGTGAGGGTGGTGAGACACTGGCCCAGGTTGCCCAAGGAATTTGTGGCTGCTCCTCCCTGGAAGTGTTGAAGGCCAGGTTGGATGAGGCTTTGAGCAACCTGGTCTAGTGGAAGGTGTCCCTGCTGATGGCAGGTGGGTTGGAACTGGATGATCTTTAAGGTCCCTTCCAACCCAAACCATTCTGTGATATCCTGTTGCTGTCTCACTTCTTTTTTTTTTTGCCACTAGTCTTACTGGTTTTGGATATGCTTTGGAAATTGGTGTGGTTCTTGGGCATTAAATGAGCTTGGGAAGTGCTATGGAAAAAAAATCTGTGGCTCAAGCTGTATATTTCTGACTTGCAAAATGTTTGTCTAACAGATGTATGTCTGAAATGGCGGACTCTCCCATTCCAGCTGAGTTCAGTGGAGAAGAATTACCCTGATAGCTGGGTATGCTCCATGAACCCTGATCCTGAACAAGACAGGTAAGAATCAGTTAATATAAAGACTTTTCTGCAGCATGCCTTATTTTCATGTGTTTGGGCTTTTTTTCTGGTCATCTGTTCTTTGAGAACAGTTGGAGGGATAGGCAGTAACTCTTTAAGCTGTAGATAACACCAAACTGAGAGGAGTGGCTGATATGCCAGAGGGATATCAAGTGCATCCATCCAGAGGGACCTGGACAGGCTGGAGAAATGGGCCAACAGGAACCTCAAGAGGTTCAACCAGGAGAAGCACAAAGTCCTGCCCCTAGGTAGGAATAACCCCAGGCACCAGCACATGCTGTTCTGCCTGGAGCCGAGAAGGCTCAGGGGAATCTCATCAGTGTGTGTAAATACCTGAGGGCAGGCTGCAAAGAGGACAGAGCCTGGCTCTTTCCAGTGGTGCCCAGTGGCAGGACCAGAGGCAGCAGGCACAAACTGGAACACAAGGATGTTCCATCTGAACATCAGGAAACACTTTTTCCCTGGGAGGGTGACCAAGCCCTGGCAAAGGGTGCCCAGGGAGGTTGTGGAGTCTCCATCCTTGGAGATATTCCAGAACATGGAACCAGCTCCGGGTGGCATTTCCTGCGTAGCAGGTTGGACCAGATGACCTCCAGAGGTCTCTCCAACCTCAACCAGTGATTTGGTGAAATTCAGCTACTTTATGGTGTTTCTGCACTGCCACTGGAAATATGATTGCAGACTTAGTTTGTCTGTGTTAATTTTAATGTAGGTAGTGGAGACAGCAATTGAAGAATGGTCGTAAGCGCATGCTGAGAGCGACCCTTGTTCAGTGAGGTCTTTGCAGTTGTCTTTATTGCTACTGTAGCTCCAACCTATTAGACATGCAAACTGCAGCAACACCTCTGAGCTGCAGTGAGCCCAAGAATGACATTTTGCACACTGGAGGGAGCAACAAATTGATTCATTTACCCACAGTGTGTTTCACAGTTATAATACTTAGGTAGAATCTAGTAATTTATTTGAATGAGGAGAATGATTGCTCTAGGCTGCTGCTCTCTGTGAAGAGAGACACTGCTAGAAGCTATTCTGGTCTTTGTTGTATGATGAGGGAAGCTGCTCAGCTGTAATTCAGGTGCCTTGGCTCAGTGCTTAAAGACAAAGGGAATGAGTCCAGGCAGTAACTTTTAATTGGAATAAAAATCTTAACATCTGTGGCTGAGACAGCTACAAAAAAGTGTTGATGTTGATATTTGGAAAGTATCGATTTTCTGGCTTCTTTATTTTGGCACCTGTCATTGGAAGAATACCAATGCTAGCTTCCCTGTTGCTCCATGTGTTTGTACCCTGGTGTGGAGCTACGAAGATGTGCTGAGGATGTTCTCTGACTAAACTTCTGGGGCAGGGCTGAATCTGCCAGCCCGAGAAGAGGCTGCCATGTCTCCAGGCCCGCAGGTGGAAGCAGTCTCAATCCATGCAGTGGTACAGGAGATGGCATTTCTCTGCTGGGAAAACTTGTATCTGGTGCCACTTGTTCAGCTTTATCTTTGGGAATTGCATTTTTGGTGTCAGGCAGACATTTTGCAGTGATGACAGATGATTTCTTAGCCAATTAAGTAATCGCTCTATGAAAAACTCCCCTGCAGTGCTTCAGCTGAGAAAAGGCTGATGGAGAAACTGCTGCTTGTGCTCCTTTCCACTGACAAAGCTGATCACAGTATGTGTCTCACAGACATCCCAGCAGTTGGCAGGTTCAAGGTTAGAGATCTTGATGCAATCATCTCTCATCAGCCTCTTGGAGCTCTGTTTGATCCACAACAAGAGCAGAGTTCTCCCTGTATCTGTAAGGCTCACACTTGTGGGAAGTTTTTAACAGCTTGGCTCCAAAGCGCTGTGGGAGTCAGCTGGATCTCTTGTGTTGTTCAGGAGTTGTCTTGGTACTTACATGCTGCTTTCCTATCTCACATCATCTCTGTATGACTTTGCACTGAAGGAGTGTCTATGAGCCAGTTCTGTGACAGGAGATGAGGCTGGGAGCCCTGTAAAGAATCCCAGAATTTCCTGGATTGGAAAAGACCTTTAAGATAATTGAGTCCAATCATGAACCCAACACTGTCAAGTCCCTGACTAACCCATGTCCCTCAGCACTATGTCTACACGACTCTTCAATCCCTCCAGGGATGGGGACTCCACCACTGCCCTGGGCAACCCCTTCCAATGCCTCAGAACCCTTTCAGCAAAGAAATTCTTCCTCATATCCCATCTCAACTGCCCCGGGCACAACTTGAGGCCATTTCCTCTTGTCCTGTCCCTTGGGCCTTGGTTGACCAGACCCCCCCCCACCTCTCTCCACCCTCCTTTCAGGGACTTGGACAGAGCCACAAGGTCTCCCCTCAGCCTCCTTTTCTCCAGGCTCAACACCCCCAGTTCCCTCAGCTGGGAACTCAGCACACTTGTGCTCCAGACCCTTCCCCAGCTCCGTTCCCTTCTCTGGACATGCTCCAGCACCTCCATGTCCTTCTTGGAGTCAGGGGCCCAACACTGAACCCAGCACTCGAGCTGCGGCCTCACCAGTGCCCAGTCCAGGGGAAGAGAACTTCCCTGGTCCTCCTGGCCACACTATTCCTGATACAAGGTAGTCACTCAGTCCTCCCTTCTTCCTCTGCCAATGCTCCTCGTGGCCAGCTGCTCAACTGAAGTTTGAAAGTGATGCCAGTCTATTTTCATTTATTTCCTACCTGCATTTTCCTCCTCTCTCAATAACTTTTCCAGGATTCTGCATCTGAGAGGACCTGAGGGAGTAGGATACTTGCCACTGTTCTGTAGGCCGTAAGCTGAACAGGATGGGAAAAGCAAATAATTGTGGGATATTGCAGAGGAAAATTTCATGGCCTTGGGCAGCAAGGTGAAGTGCATCTTCTGCTGGAAGATGACGTCTGTAAATGATGTCTTAATCACAGCTTACTGGTAATAAGCTTTCCTTTCTAAAAGGAAAGGAAGTCTGTAAAAAGAGGAATTGTTATGGAGTCACAAGTTGATAGAAAGGAAAAATTACTGTGAAAGTCCAGAGTACAGGAACAGTACAGAGAACCAGTCCCGGCTGTTCCTGAGCTTTGTTTAGCCCCCGGGCTCTGAATTGGTAATTCCTAGTGTACATGGCTTTTTTTTTTAACAGCTATAGTTTTGATCCTTAAACCATAGATGTGTTTTCCAAGAAGAAAACCACTGTTTTTGAGATTATGGCTGCTGTGGAAAGGAAAGTGGTTTTAGTGCTGCATTTGGGATGGGATGTGATGTGAGGACAGTGCCATGTGTGAGACAGTGCAGGTTCTGCTGTCTCTGCTGAGGTTTCTTCCATTCCCTTCATGCTAGATGTGAAGCTCCAGAGCAGAAGCAGAAGGTACCACTAGGAACTCTGAAGAAAGACTTGAAATCACAGGAGGAAAAGCAGAAACAGCTGACAGAGAAAATCCGCCAGCAGCAGGAAAAGTTGGAAGCTCTACAGGTGAATCTGAAGGTCTCCAGCTAAGCACAGGAGGTTTGAGGGACCTCCTGGTGCAAATGGCTGATGCCAAATCATGTGTGTCTCAGCCTTTAATGCCATCTGTGCTCCTTCATGGGGTAGGGATTGTTTTAATAACAGAAAACAAGCATTTCAGCTTGCATTTCATGTACTGCTAGGAAAATGGAAGTGACTGCTGGTGTTCGGGTGAAGGTACGTCTCTTGAAGAACACAGAACATGCCAATTTTTGATTTTAAACTGGTAAATTGTTTGCTGGGCTGGGTTCAGGCAGGCCCTGAGAGCTTTTAAAGACAGCCTTTCTGATATATATATTTATTTATTTAATAGAAAACCACTCCAATTCGATGTCAAGCTGACTTAAAGAAACTGCCTCTGGAAGTGACCACACGGCCTGCAGGGGAGGTAAATGGGTTACTGCTGTAGGCTTTATACTCTTCTGTGCCATCCTTAGCTGCTCTGAAAAGCAGCTCCCGACTCTTCCATCCTCTCTCTATACCCTTATTTGTTTCAGAACACCCAGTCACAAACCCGACCTCAGCGCCCGCGATCTCCTCCTTTACCTGATGTAATCAAGAATGCTCCCAGCAGACCACCACCACCAACGCCTCCTCCCAAGTCCGTCAGTCAGCTGAAAAAGAGCTCTTCCACATATATCAGCACTCCCAAACTGGCAAACATGCTCTCCAAAGAGGAGGCCAGCACTTCCAGGACACACCAGCACACTGTGACAACTGGGAAGTCTAACAGCACTTTAAAAACTCTTGCCAAACCAGCTACAACAATGAAACCACCCTCTGCTGTCCAGCAAAACCCTAAAAGCTCACGTGAGACACTCAGTCCAAAAGCTGCCAGGGTGCCAGCACTAAAGAAATCTGCCACTGTCAAATGCCCACAGGTAAGACTCCATGGGATGAAAACTGTCTGCTCCTGACCTACTGTTCTGCATAGCCTGGCTTGCTCTGTCACACGGGATTTGCACTGTAGTCCCTGCACAGGGCAAGATAACTTTTACTTTACTCTAGGGTACTTTTCTACACCCCTCATGAAGACTCATTTAATCTCTTTCCTGTTAGACCAGACTGTTTCCCCAGACAAAAAGTGTGTGGTGTGGCAGGGTGAGCATTTGCATGATCATGTAGGATCTGCTAAAACCTTCTGGAAAAGTTATTTAACTATCGGATGAAAATACTGAATGCTGAGCATTTTTTTTTTTAACTTGACTGAAAGAAGGTTTTGGTTGGTAGCATGCTGGAATTACAGCTAGAGCGTATTTGCTTCCTACAGGCATCCACCACACGGAAGAGAACCTCGAATACCACAGAGGACGAGTCTGAGGAGGAGAGGGAGCACAAGAAGGAGAAGACAAAACGGGGCAAATTTGTGGCAGTGAAAGAGGAGAAGAAGGATTCCAGTGAGGTGGTGGTAGAGGTGAGAGTGCACTGGTTTCCCCAGCAGAATACATTTGTCAAGTGTTTACAGTCTTGTTGGGAGGAAGCTAATCTGAGCTCTCTCTGCTCACAGCTCACAGACAGTGCTGGGGAAGAAGAGCTGGCAGAACTGAAGAAACCTCAGAAAGGTGAGAAATGAACCCTTGGACTGGGTCCAGTATCTAATGCAATGGCAAAGAGCTGTTGCAGAACTAGACTCACTGGTTAAACGTGTGATTTCATTAATGAGCTTTTTAAAATAAGAATTTGTGTAAATTTGGGTCCCAAATCCCATGATGACTCTTAACTCACGTGAAATATTTTGGCCAGAAACCCCTTGATTAGACAAGAGGCAGCTGGGGCATGGGAAGATCTGTAATCTGAGGGCTGTGTCATGTTAACAGGTGTGATGCTTGGCTGTGTGGTGCAGACTGATGCTGTGCTCACCCTTCCTAACCGAATGGTTCATGGAGCTTCGTTAGCTAGGCAGTGCTGAGGATGGTATCTAGACCTGCTGTGCTGTTGTGAGAGAAGAGGGGCCAAGAGACCCCCAGGAAAGGTGATAGCCAGGACAGTGTTGCATCTTCTGCCAGAGCAGGGCATTTCTTCAACTTGTTCCCAAGGAGTTGTCTGGGAAGTGACCTGCTAGGAACTTGTGGCAAATTGTCCTGGTGGCCAACATGAGACTGGAAAGCACGTGTTAAACAGCCCAGGGTACAGGAGAAACCTATCTGAAAATGCCATATAATTTCCTTGCATCTTGGTTTTTCTAAGTAGGATTTGAACTGTGACAGTAGTGGTTTTATGGTTCATTGTGGTGGTTTCAGCCACAGCTAAGACCATGAGGTCCTTCACTCACTACCTCCCACCCAGTGGGATGGGGAGAGAAACACAACAAAGGGCTGGTGGGTTGGAATAAAGACAGGGAGGGCTCACTCACCAGTGATGGTCACGGGCAAAACAGACTCAACTTGGGGAAGAAAAATCAATTTAATTTGTTACCAATCAGTCAGAGTAGGACAGTGAGACACAACAACCACATCTAACACCCCCTTCCCCCACCCCTCCCTTCTTCCCGGGCTCAATTCACTTTGCTCCCCATTTCTGTCCCTTCTCCCCTGCAGAGGCACAGGGCACAGGGAATGGGGGTTGCAGTCAGTTTGTCTCTGCTGCTCTTTCTGGCATGAGATCCCTCCCGGGGGCTGAAAGGGTCCAGGAACAAACTGTTCCAACATAGAGTCACGGACCTCTTCGGGCTCAGCTCCCGGCTCCAGCGTGGGGATGTCCACAAGCTGCAGACTTGGAGGTCCAGTGCACCTCCTTGCCCTGCTCTGGCATTGAACGTTTCGGGAGGAGAAGGGGAGGAGGTGTGTCCTTGTTCATCGTGAGCACTCAAAAGTCACAACTGCCCTCAGGCACAGGTCCTGCTTTGGTGAGGAGTACTCCATAGCCTACACATGGGTATATGCTCTGCCATTGAACCTCTATGGGTTGCAGGAGACTCCATCTGCCTCCCCCTACTCTTCTCCATGCTGATCTGGGTGTCTGAGGTTCTCTGTCTCCTCTCCTTCTCCTCCTCCTCCTCCTCCTTCATGTCACTGATGGTCTTTTTGTTCAAGTCAGTGGTCTCCTGATGGCTCTCTCCTTCTTTGCCAAACTGATTCTTCCCTCATAAATATGGATTCGAAGAGGCAT